GTATATTTTTCAGGGGGGAAATGCTTTTATTTTTTTCCTCAGAATCTTTATATTTTGTGCAAAATACTTTTTTGTGTGCGCAAAACTGAACTGTTGAGCAAATCTCCCCCCCCCTTCTTCTAATGGTGCTGCTAACGAAGAAAAGGCTCTGGTCTTTTTGCCCTCATGCAGGAGCAAAATGTTTTGCAGCAGTTGACAGTTCTTTTGATTGGTGTCTCAGTGTGTTGAGACATCTTCTTTCAACAAGGATGAGAAACCTTGTACTGTATCTGTTACATCCTTACTGTGAACTGCTCCACAAATCAAAAACAGGAATATATTTAACCGGACTGGAACTTCCTTCATCTCTCCATCTTGGCTAAACTGCTGATGAGCTGATGAGCAAGCCAACAATATCCAGAGGCCCACACATACTCCACAGAAGTTCTCTTATCAGGAGAAAGGGCTTTGACAAAGCAGGCTGGGAATGTCAAAGATAAACCATTTCCTTCATCTTGGCTACACCTTCAAGACTTTTAGCAAGAGACAAAAGGCTGAACTTAATTATGGAAAGAAAGAAGGGTCATAATCTCAGGGGTAAGCAGTGCCCAATATTGTAATTCTGGAAGAATAACACAATTTGGTTTTATTTCCATCAGTGTTGTAATGAAGTATCGCATGATCACCTTAATATAACAACAACCAGAACCTAGAATCCTTACGATTAAACAATGTTTTCTGATTTTGACAGCCATGCTAGTTGGAGGACCTTAGGTGTCATATTCCATAAAATGCACTTTTTCAATCTCTGGTTAAGGGCTCCTGATTTAGCCCTCAAGGTTAAGGTCCTAAGTCCAATGGCTTCTTCATCAAAAAGAAGTGGTGTGAGGAAAAAACTCCCACTAAAAGGGAGGAGAGCTAGGAAGTATCTTTCAGGGAGAAGGGCTGGAAAATGCACTGGAAAGCCACTGTCACATAGGTTTTGCTTAGCAGGAAAGGACCCTATGGACCATCGAATCCATCCTCCGTCAAGGAGGCACAGTGGGGAATCAAACTCCCTGCTTCTGGCTCCACAGATACCTAAACCACTGACCTATCCAGCATTGAGAGAGTAACAAGGAGAGACTAGGCTTGGTTATCATTAACAACGGCATTCCTGATGTTTAAAGCATAAGGTACAGTTTGGCCAAAATGAAGAATATTTGACTTCTACTAATTTCTGTGGGAGAAAGATAAGTAGCGATTGAACCTACAATAATCAACAACCAGCTATTGAACACTTAACTTATTTATTTATTTATTTATTTATTTGACTTATATGCCGCCCACACTACCCGAAGGTCTCTGGGTGGCTTGAAGTCAGTGGGACCTGAACTTCCTCCAGTTTTCTCCACTGCAACTTTTTTCTTTCCCTACCACCTGCTATACCAGAGTACCTTCTCTTCGGTACTGATAAAGCCTCTTACACTTTGTTGAAGCCAGAGATGTTATGCATGCCATGCTTATAAGGAGTCACACTTTTAACTTAGGGTCACTATAGTTATCTCCTACTAATGGCATTTGAGCTCAGTCATGTGTGTGTGTGTTAAGTCTTGCCTCCTTGAGCTATGCTGCTACTAAATCACACTTTCCTTTCTAGAAAAATAAAATGACTGCCACTCTTGGAGGCAGAGGTTAGTGAGGGGAAGGAAGAAAGCAAAGAATAGATAGCGGCACAAATGATCAGAGGTGTCATGGGAGAGAAGATCTGTCACAAAATGACAATTATAACTCAAATTCTCCACTCAGATGCTCTAAAATGACAATGGCTTTAGGAAATATGAAATCCTGTTAACTGAGCCCAAGGCCAAGAGCCAGAAAAAGCTGCAATCTAATTGCATGGGCCTGATTCTGATTTGCCTTTCAGCCCAATCCCAAGAACATCTCTGGGAAATAACACTATAATGTTACGCTCAGTCCTACTGAGTTCAGCAAAACATCTTCATAGAATCTGAGAATCTTTCTCTGTGCTGCTCTTTTTCTGCATCTTGAATGATATAAAGAGAGGGAGAGATAACAAGGCTTACAAAGAAGAAGTGGATGCTAGACACATAATGAAAAGTAATGAAAATACAATGGAATTTAGGAACTTCCATGCTTTTATTCTTTTAAAGGTTTTAGTAAACTGAGTAGAATGTACAGCGTTTAAAAAAAAAAAAAAGAAGGCTTGCGATTTCTGGAAAAAAAGGTTCCAGGAAAAGCCAATATATACTTAGAAATAGAAAGATACTCAGTGACTAAAGGAAAGATCTGTCCACAGAAGTAGCTGGGCTAGTCTATCTAAGCATGTTGGCGAAAAGAAAAGAAAAAAAAGATAGTGGTGGTGGAGACTAAAGACTAACAGATTTATTTCAAAGTCAGCTTTTATGAATCAAAATCCACTTCCTCAGACACAAAGCACAAGGGATTTGTATTTGTGCTACTTGTGCCTGAAAGAGTGGATTATGATCCCCAAAAGTCTTTCAAGTGCCACGATATTTAACTGTTTTTCCCTTCCTCCCACATTTATTTTTGCCAACATGGAAGGATATCCATGTATGTACCTAGAAAATAATCAAGCATAACTGCAGTTTCTTCTGCTTACTCTTCAAAGAATCGAAAATTTAATTTGGTTTAAAAATGAACGATAAATTTGTCTTGGCTTTCAAAACACACCATGTACCCTTCACCACCTAAGGTTCTAAAATCTTTACATAAGTATATACAAGAAGTCCACTTAAGAACAAAACAAAAGGCAACAAGACCGCAACCTTTCAGAGCCAGGTTAAAGAACAACAGCAAAAAACAGCCTTGGCACTGTGTTGAAACTTCAAAAGTGTCTGTGAAATCTAAGAAAACCGCTGATGGTTTCCTTAAAAGTCTTTGTGCCTCTCTTTAAAGGGGCTCTCTTGTGATTCATGTTGATCATGCCTGACAGCTAGCATTTCCGTTAATAATAATCATAAATAAACTGGACAAGGTCACCTGACCTGAAATGAGCATAGCTACAGAGCCGTATCCATTATAGCAATGTGTACCTGTGACAGCAAATCAAGATGAGTCCAATGCTCTTGACACCACAGATTAAAATAACAGCTAAACGGAAATGCCTGGGCTTCTGAAATATTGTTTTTTTAATTCACAAAGGCAATATTTTATACAGTAAGAAGGATTAAGGGAAAGATACCTTTTGTTAAAAGGAGTAAAACACTGACGTACTACTCTTCTTATCCATAGTTAATGCTAAAAAATCCCCCTTTTGCATCTCTGCTAAATGTTGACCTGGTACTGAAATCATAATCTTGCTTTTATGACCTCATAAATCCACTGACATGTAAAAGATTGTGCTTCCACCAAATCCAGAAGTATGATTTTATTGCTGGGAGCACAATGCAAAAAGGAAACCTAGTGGAAGGCTTTAGTCATTGACAAGAAAATGTTTAATGGGGAGAAAAAAAACATTGTGAATTGATTTTTAATTTTAGTTTCAAAGCATTGTGAGATGGGTGGGAAGACCAGTTAGAAGATTAATTAGAAACAGGTACAAGTCATGTTGATCAGAGAATGAATGAGTGAATGAATGAAAATAGAGGCACCCACAGTAAAAAAAAAAATTAAGCCTCTCCATTTGCACAGCCTTCCTTGCACAATTTTGTAAAGATGTGCTTTACACATTGTGCTGAAGGTCAATGGATTCAAACTCTAGCAGGGTTAACAGGCCAAGCAATTCCCTGGGTGCCTGAGTACTGGAAGGGAGCCCAAGGGTCAAGCCATCCAAACACCTGCATTATACTAGGATTTGCTAGACCTAAAGCATTTTTGACAGATGCTTATTCAGCTCCTTCTTGGAGCTCTAGAGGAAAACTCCCATAGATGAAGCAGACCTTGGCAAAGGTAGTTTTTCTGTACTGCACATCCCAGAATTCCTAGTTAGTATTGCCAGTTGCCACGTTGGCTACAGGAATCTGGGTAGCCTGGATTTAAAAAAAAAAATCTAAAGTTCTTGTATCATGACAAACCATGTTCTGCCTCTCAGCAAGCTATAAAATGGCATGAACAAAAAGAATGGACCTATAGGTCTTCATATTTATGAACATTCTCAAGCAAAAAATACCCTGCTTCATTGGCACAATAAAACCCATTTATTCATAATAAAACCCATTTATTTATATACTTATTTATGGAATGAAAAAGCCAATCAAAGAGGCTGAGGTCTAGTACTGTAACGTTATGCCATGAAAAGCTGGTGAAATATATCAGTTGTGGCTGTTTTGGCAGAATTAAAAACGACTGATTCCCCCTGCCTCTCAATTTCCCATGGTTTCTTTAGTCCCTTTTATCCTGAGGAAACCCTTGGGGGTTGTGGGATGGGGAAAAAATCTTTAGTTTCTGAAAATCACCATTCCCCAGAGTGATTCATTGGTCACAGAGTTAAAAAAAATTAAAGACCCCCCCCCCTTGGGAGTTCTCACAGGAGTCTCAGAACGTTGGGGTAGGGGGAGAGATATTAGAAACTTTTATTTCCTGAAAAACAGCCATGGCTAATGACATAATCAGCCTTAGGTAGCTTATCTTCACATTGTTAGATTTCAGCTATAGGGTGTTACAATGAACAAAGCATTGGCCTATACCTGGTCTCCTAAATCTGACCAGGAGGTTCCAGTAACTTAAAAAACACATGGCATAACTTGGGTCGCTAAGGCCTAGTTTGAATCCCTGTCTTAAATGTAACTGAGTGGCCCTGGGTCAATCTTCCTCAGCACAATATATCTCATAATGTTGCTGCATGAATAAAACTGATGATTCCCATACTGTACCTCTAAGCACATGAGAGGAAGAAGTCGAGACTCTTCTTAGAGCCAATTTGTGTGCAAAAGACCCCCAAGGGTTAAAATATATATAACTTCTGCAACTGAACGGGATGTCCTATAGTGTCACACATTATTCCAGTTTACAAGTTAGGATTTCCGTGTTATTCTTAATTGATACAGCCAAGGACATACCTGAATTTGAGCGCTTCTTTGGATTTTTGAGACTTCGGCACCTCCCACTGACAGAGCTGCTGTTCTCGCTCATAGAGTCTTGAGCTGATGAAGTGCTTCCTGTTGCTTCACTATCTCTCATCATGCTTTCATATCCGCTGCTTCCTCCACTGTGATAGAAAAGGGCTGTTTTCCCCATGGCGGGGGGAAGTTCCCCACTCAGGACGCTACTGTTGTCACTTCCATGGCCACTGCTGCAGCGATGGGGCTTTCGAGGTGGGGTGATCTTGCTGTAAGGCGAAGGCAGCAGGTGAATGAGGGGCTTCTCCTCTCCGTGAATGACACCACGCTCATCGGTGTCTGAGTTTCTGCGCAGCTGCAATCCTCTGGTACTGGTGCTTCCCTGCAGCAGTTCTGAAATTCTACCATTCACAGCTCTCAAGGGCAGTTTTGAGGAGAGGCCAGAATTCCTATTCCTGCTGAGAGACTGAGTGGACCAGGACATATTCTTTCCATTCGGAGGCAAGTTTGAACTCTGCCCCACAGACTGAGGAAGGGACTTCGTTGAAAAGCTAAGCGTTTTGGTGGTTGAAGCAGCTAGGCTTCGGGCTTTTGGACTTGCCAAAAGCAGCTTGCTCACCGCAGAGATCTTGGACTGACTGGCCTTTGGCGAAGCCCCTGCCGATTGAGAAATGGCCGAGTTTGTTGGTGAGGACATTAGACTGCGGCTGAGACTCCTTCCCGCTCTTGGCATTGTGGTATCTTTCCCAGGACTCATCTTGGAGCTCACAGAGGAGAGACTCTCTGCCCTTTCCAAGGACAGGCACTCATAATGGCTCCCGCTGGGCCTTCCTAGGGAATTACTTCTGCTAGCCAGCTGTTCAAGTTTGGCACTAAATAACTTACTACTGCTATTAGTACTATTCTCTGTAGTGGCACCCTTTTGTTTCCCGTTCAGGTCATCATTAAAACTAGCCAGAAAAGATACTGGTTGGTTTGAAGGGCTGTTGGTGCTACTACTGCAAGCACTGTGCTGAGGGCTGGCCCTGTTCTTTTGATCAAGGCTTGATTTTCTCACAGGAGGCAGTGGAGGGTTTCCTTTTGGACGTGTAAGAACACAGTGCTTAGGGGAAGCAATTCTTCTTTCCAGGCTAGCTTTTGAGGTCTGAGATAAAACCGGAGAGCCAACTACATTGTTCTCTTCAAGATAAGGAGAGGACGCCAAATCCAGTTCCTCTTGCTTGCTGGTCTTCTGGAGTGCCCTTGTGAGGCTCCCGTTTTTAAAGCTCTCGGTAGAATGAACTGGGCTATGGGTTCCAGAACTGGGCAGTCCCATTTCACATCCATCTACAACTCTTCTCAGGTTTTCTGTTCCTGGAGAGCTAGAGGTATCTCCACTGCTGCTACTAAATCTGTCTGCCAAGTTCTGTTTCTTACTTTGGTCAGGTACAACCTCGGCCTTTGGACCGCCATTTTCTTTCTTTACACTGTCTTCCCTCTTCAGCCAAGGATCATCAAATTTGATCTCTTTCCTTACACTGGATTCTTTTACCTCTTGAGGATGGGGAGCTCTGGCTGGTGATGTGACAGCTGAGATAGCCTCATGAGTCCCTTGTGCCTTAAAGGGACTAACAGCAATACAAGGATAGACGGTGATGTTGGTCTTCATTGGAATGAAGCCTTCACAGCTGCTCAGGCCCGCAGTGTTTGATATTGTGACTGTAGTCTTTCCTAGGGCTGATATTTTACAACCTTTGATGGATGACATTTTATTAATACTTTCATCAGCCACCTCGGGTAATAGAAATATATTCTCTGTCGCTGGCTTTTGCTTATCACCTATACAAGCAGCACTATTATTCTCCCCAAGCTCAGCAAGCTCAGGAGCATTGGTTTCAGCCATTGCTTCCCCATGACCATAGCATGCTTGGGCTATGAAGCTGTGGCAGGACTGTTCCCCATCACTTCCAGTGCTCATCTCACTCAGCCAGGAACTGATAGATGAGCGTCTGCTTTCATCTTCTTCGGCTTTGTTGCTCGGGCCCATTTTTGGAAGGGGCAGAAACTGAGTAATGCTAACCTCCGAAACGGGAGCTGTACTGGCATAGCATTCAAGATCTTCACTAATACTGCTGATAATGCTAACTGGCCTGGACCCAGAAGCCAAAGCCTGCACAGAACAATCACTGTTAAAGCTGATGATACTTGTAGGCCGTCCATTCTCCAGAACCCCACTAATGGTCAGCTCTTCAACTAGGGTGAATACCAGCTCGTCCTCCCCATTCAGCTCTAATGGTTGCTGGACTGTGACCATGGTGGTGCTCAAAATCTCCTTCTTTGACTCTGGGGACCGTTGTTCTTGCTCTGCGCTATCCATCATCTCTTCATAATTGCAGCTGCTGGAAGACAGTGACCTTTTCATGATCTGTGGGCTCATTCCAATGGGAGGGGTGCGGATCTCTGGTTGCATCAAAGACTCACTGGACACCATCCCCGAATCTTTGCTTAGTGATGATGGTGGAGGCGCAGGGTTGGGTAAGACCCCTTTCTGGGTGTACACCTTGCACCTCTGTGAAGGAGAAGTGGGTGGCTTATACTCTGATGTCTTGGAGAGGCTTGCAATGCCAAGCCGTGGTGAGCCCATACAGCGAGGTTTGGTTTCTACAAAGCCACAGGTGTTGAGACTTTCTCGGCTGCTTTGCAGGTCTGTGCAATGAGATTGCTGGGAAGAGGTCATTTGGTTACTAGGGCTGCCTGTAACACTCCTGGGGGAGGGAGGAGTGGAAATCTCATTAAGTACCCCAGAGTGGACAGGGGAGTGATTTCCTTGAATTCTGTTGGCTGTTGCATTTAGGTTTTCCCTGACATATTCATCAGTGTCCTGGCAGCTCAGCAGGCCTTCTTCCTTGTCTGTCTCTGATGTATTGCTGGGCTCTGTCACTTGGCTTGACCCTGGGCACTTCGTTGCTTGGTCTGAGCTATACTGAACAGGCAGCTCTTCGAAAGGAAACTGGTCTGTCTCCTCACTGCCATCAATGCAATCTAACCGCTCCTGAAGTTCCGCAAATGTATTGCATTTCAGGCAGTCTCTCTCAGAGGTGCAGGGGGCTGTCTCACTCATTTCCTCTAGCTTGCCTTCATTTTTCATTTTCTGAAGGGCAGGAACGATGGGGACAAAGTCAGGCGGCCCTTCGTTATCTGTTAGCTCCTTGTCTGAGAGAGCTGTGCCATTAGGGCCAACATAAATGACAGTGTCACACGACTGTTCACTGCTAGAAGAATAGTCAGGGTCACTTGACAAGTGAAGAATAGGAAAGTCTGGATCAACAGCGTTCCGAGAATGGAAAGGTCTCAGCTGGGTGGGCCTCCGCATTCTCCCTTCCTCACAAGAACTTTCTCCCCCAGAAGAGCTTGATGTGTACTAGGAAGAGGAAGAGAGATAAATGGTTAGGTTTTCAAACCACTGAGAAGTAGCGATGATGTAGATCTGGTACATTAATAGAGCCAGTGATGTGCACAGTGGTGAATTAAGAGGCGATCCAGTGGATTGTTTCACCCAACATCAGGTGAGATAATCCACTTGATTGTAACATGGAATGGGGGCCTTCTTCAAACCAAATACAATCTGTTGCTCCACTGAGTCTTAATTCCTCCCATGAATGCCACACTGGCAGTGTAACATCAACTTGATTGTGAAAAACCTGCATCTCCTAACTTCAGCATAATGAATTAGATGTTTGAACTAACTAACAATTAAATAAACAGTTATTCCTTTCCTACTAATATCCTCATATTTGGTTCCAACACATGGCAAAAAGTGAATGAAAATTCTGTAAACAAAGCCCATCACTTAGTTAGGCTGTAACTGAAAATATACTCATTTGGAAATATATTGCACTGAAATCGCTGAAGCTATATTTCAGGAAATCCATGTATGATTATACTGCTGGAAATGAGAGCGGGAACTGAGAAATAAAACAATGCCCTTACTTTCAATATTCTCGCTCATTACCAATTCCTCCGCCCAAAAAACCAAAACAACACACAAGTGTGGGGCGACTTCAGACAGGCTATTCTCTTCTCAGTTTTGTAATTTCCCTCCATTTTAAGACCTTCCAGCATGGTTTGTTGATGGGGGACACAGCTTCCTGTACCTCTAGGTCTAGTAACATCAAATAGATACATATTGAGTAATTTCTTTAAAACCCTCTAAAAATGTATTCCACAACTCCTCTGGGCAAGTGATACAAATTTAATTACAGCTACGACATGTTTCCTTATATCAATCCGGAACACAGTGGGACTTGTTTCTAAATAAACATCCTTAAGATGTACTATAAGAATCATGTGAGTTTTATTTATTTATACATTATAGAAACCTCCTTTCTAAGTGACTTCCTAAGAACTTCTGAAATGAATAGCAAAGAAAAAGAATAAGCAATATAACAAAATAAAAGGATCTGAACAATCCTACACATGAATTTGACATAGCTTTCTCTCAGGTAAATAGGTGTAGGCATGCAGCCTTAAGCTGAAATAATAAAAGCCTATTTTGTGATTATGAGGAAGAATTTAACAAAACATCCTCTCTCCCAGATGGCATAAACTACAGAGTGGCAGAATCATTTGGGAGGAGCTTCCACATGCAGTCACCAACAATGTTTTGGAAAGCTTCGCAGTGCTTTTTAGATAATAGCTCCCAGAATATTCCAGCTTTTCAGGATTTGTAGTACAAAAATCTACTTCTAGGCTCTGAACACCAGCATTGTGATCTAACTTTTAAAAGGAAGGAAGATGAAACAGGCGAGCACTAATAGATATCAGTGATTCAGGGTGGGGAAAATATATTCTTTTTCCAAAGTTCTAGGCAACTCTGAGCATGCACTCCTGATATCAGGGTACTCTGTTGCTTTTGAAAATTTACTGGGCGTTGTACAGAGTAACACCTATGGTTGTATGAACAGACTTCAGCGTGTATGAAAGGACTGTGCCCCTTCCTCTTCTCCCCCCTCCCCCATACTTCCTACACAACCTAAATTTACCCTACGTCCTCTTGAGGTAGTTCAAACCAAATTTTTGAGATCTATTCTTACAGTACCCCCATGTACACCTAATGTAGCCCTTTGTTTGGAGGCTGGCCTAATCACCATAAGAGCACGTGTCAAAGTCCACATGTTTAATTACTGGCTAAAGCTTCTCTTCTCTTCAGAAGGCTTGGCACAGATGTCACTTTTTGACTCCTTTCAATCAGAATGGAAACTACAATTTACAAAAGAAATAAGGCAAATGGGCTTTTCCACCAATGCTCTTTTGGCGATGGGGCATGTCGGTGCTAAAGCAGCACAAAAACAAGGTTCACTGATTTTAGCATGAGGGTGGTTTGTAGTCAAATGTAGAGAATGTTGTGGTCCCAACCGAAGGGAGGAAATATTTACAGATCTTTACAAATATGTAGGAAGGACTCCCTATAACCCAAAGACCCTATCCAAGCCAGTTTGCCCTAGACAATCCAATGGTTCAAAGGATAGCTATAAAAATACTGTATTTGATTCTCCCCATATTTTACAGCCTGTACAACCAATACATTATTTGTTGTACACTTTTAAAATTGCATTTTGTATATTTTAACCACATAATATGTTTTATGAACTGATTGTATATTTTTAAACTGCATTTTGTATATTTTAGCCA